GATACAAGTCATCGCTTTTTAGAAAATATTTTTCAAATCATTTATTTTCTACGAAACAAACTGAGCCAATGCATTTTTTTTATTTTCTTCTTTGCCCTTTCTATTTGTGATAAAAATTATTGTAAAAAATTTAAGGGAACAAATCACGGTCATAGACTTGCTAAATGTAGTACTTGGATAAATTATTATACGTATGCAGGCAGTGGAGACTAGCAAATTAAGGGATAATAACACAAATAGTCTTGAACTTTGACCCGATATACAATGTGGTCTCCAAATTTTTAATTTATTCAATGTCGTTTGTGGAATTTTGGTACAAGTTCAGTGTAGTCCCTGAACTATATGCAATATAATCCCTAAAACAATTCATGAACTAAATTGAACTTGTATAAAAATTCAAGAACGACATCGAATAAATTAAAAATTTAGAGATTACATAAGGTTAAAGTTTAAGAATTACATTAAGCAAATTATAAATTTATAATTCACATTATACATTAAGTCAGAGTTCAGAAATTGTTTGTATCATTTTCCGAGCAAATTAATTAGCAAAATCACAAGAAGATGTGCTTTTTCTACCAATCTATAATAATCAGCCACCAGACATTACTTCCTCGGGGAGCCCATGCTGTCGTGGCGACATCCTATAGGACCAGAGGACGTGTCCCTGTCCCCCGAATCTCATCTCGAATTGACGATATCACCCCCGACTTTATTCGCGTGCTCTCTTCAGTTGAATCCCTCGAGCAAAGGGCAAAGCCGTCGATCTATATAAACCCGAGAAACAAACGGTCGATCGAAAGCATGAATTTCGCCAAAGACCATGGAAACGGAAATTCAGGGATGAGATGGTAGCGCGAGGTCCCTCCATTTTCGAACTGCACAAGAGGGAAAGGAAGAGAAGATGATCAGAGGCTTGAAGCAGCTGAGCGCGGCATTCGGAGCGTCGTTCCTGTGGCTCGTCTGCTTGATCTACTTCACTCAGGTTCCGATTCGAATCCCACGCTTCGTGCTCGTTCGCGTTCGGACAACGCGGTTCGTTCGCTTTTTCTTTTGCCGCTTTTCGTGCTAGCGATCGCAGGAAGGATCGAGGGTCGCGTCGTTTCGTGGGGTTCAGTGGTTTTCCGGTGTGTGGTTCTTGTTTCGTGTGGATTGTCGGGTGAGAAATGATGCGCGTTGATGTTTGGCGCTTCGCATTCGTTTCGGTATCGGAAGATTTTCTGTCATTGATGGTTTTTTTTTTTTTCGCTGCGAGCTGGTTGGGGCTCTGAATTGTGCGGTTCTGATTGTGGACGCGAATCTCGCGTTCGTGTTTGGTGCTTTGATGGTTGATGCGGATGGGTACCTGTGCCTTCTAGCTGGGAAACCATACGTGTGCTTGGTTTTTGTTGTTGCTGTCGCTGCTTCAGATCCAATTCGTGATGGTTTCTCTATTTGAACGCAGGGTTTCAGGTCATTTGCGTGGACTGCGGTTTCGTACCAGCTCAAAGACATACTCAAATTGTCGCCCTCGGCCTCTCAATTTGTGTTTTCAGTTGCATTTTTCCCATGGAGCATAAAACCTTTATATGGGTAATGCATTGAATATGCCCTACAGCATTGACCATAGTTATATCTGCTAACATGGGTTTATTTTTTTGGGCCATGTTTATTACAAGACTGGTCCTCGATTTCCTCATCCCCTGATTTTGCTGGTGTAGTCATTCTCTTGTCTGGAGCGATGTATATTCCTTTGTCAGTGTTCTTTCTTTCAATTTTCTTCCTTTGACTTCGCTATGTTGTTGCGTGCAGAATTGTGTCAGACTGCATTCCGATTGGAGGAAGAAAACGGGTTCCATACCTGATTCTTGCGACAATACTGTCTCTTGTGCCATGGCTTATTTTGGGCCTAAATGCTTATTTGAGGAAATCTACATGGCACCTCACGATCTTCTTAACTGTCCAAAATCTGGGCTCGGCGATGGCTGATGTTGTCATTGATGCGATGATCGCTGAAGCTGTGAGATTCGAGAAGTAAGCCCCTGCACTCTTCTACTTTTTGAATTTTTCGGAAAAAATTATAGTTATAGCTTCCACCTTGCTTGCGATTATCATACTGCTCAATGACTTTTTTTCTCTTGTTACTCTATCTTAGGGCATTGGGCTAGAGCAAAACGTTTACATTGCAGACATAATTCTTAGATTTGTAAACATTCGCCCTTGTTCTTGCTGCCAATGAAAGATGCTTACTTTTATATGAGTGTTATTAGAGAGAACCCTTAGTGCACTTGCTGAGCAACAAAACAAGGAAAATTTATGGTATCCAAAACAGCGACTTTCTTTCTTGTATGTGCAATCAATGTCTTGGAAATCCAACAATTACTTATTAAGTATGCTTAACAAGTGTCCCAAAGGCATTCATTAACAGGATTCTTTTAATATTTCTAATCAGACTACATTTTCAATGGATCATATGTGCTTATAATTGAGGGAATTATGTACATTTAATTTGTGACCTGAGCATAACCTGAGCTCTTATTGCTCTTGTTCAGGGCTTCGTTTGCTGGAGATCTTCAATCAATGTCTTGGTTTGCAATGGCTTTTGGTGGTATATGTGGGAGTTTATTAGGCGGATATGCGTTAACCAATGTGGAGATAGCAACTATTTTTCTTCTATTTACCGTGCTGCCAGCTGTACAATTACTGTCATGCGGTTTAGTAAAGGAGAATCCCCCACGCAAAAACGATGAAAAAGATCATCCTAAAGGCGAACATCTGATGAATGGAAATAGTAGTTTAATAGATGAGGATAGCTTTACAGTGAAAAAGCAAAGTAAGAGTACTTCGAGAAGAAAGAAGAGCCGCAAGAGTAGAAAAAAGATGGATGTTGCCTCTGATAAGTCCAGACCTTTCCGGGAAGGTGATCAACTATTCTTGAAATGGCTTTGCTCTCTGAAAAATGCTATTTACGATCTATACCGAGCTTTTCAACAGCCAGTCATATGGAGGTAAGTGGACAGAAAGCTTAACCTATTGAAGCAATGATTCTTTAGCATTTTAAGGTCACTTGTCCTCTTGCCAGATTTTATGGTCTTTGGCACTCACGAATAAATTTATGGAAGTGAAGTTGGCTATAAGTATCAACGATTAGTCAATGACTCTGTTTTATACTTTGTCCAAGGACAAAATTCCTTGTTACTGGTGGTTATGCCATCAGATGATCTGCCTTATTCTTCGTATATGTTACCTAGTGGATATGCACATAAGTACGTCTATTAGCCTTGTCCTTTTTATAGAGTTAAACGTGTCTAAGTAGTAAAAAGGAATACCCTTTTCTTTGTCGAATTCTTTGTCCTGATTGATTTTATGATGCATTAGCCAAATTTCTAATCAGGTGCTTTTCCATTTCTTTTCCCTGATCCTTGTAAGACCAGACCTATGGCTTGGTTTTTTCTAGCTCATGTCACCGTTCCAAACCTCTCAACAGTCATGTTCTACTACCAGACGGAGTTTTTAAAACTGGAAGCATCGTTTTTGGGGACTTCACGTGTCGTTGGATGGGTAGGCCTCATGATTGGGACCTTCATATACAACCGTTTCTTCAAGACCATGAAATTACGAAAAATCCTCTTGTGAGTATTGGCTGCTTTATGATATAGTTTTCTCTTTGGTAAATATGTTCTTCCGTAGTTCAGTTTGCTGATGGTGCTTCGTTTTTTATCTATGAACACAATGCAGGTTTGCTCATGTTGGTTTAGCCTTACTGACCACACTGGATATGATTCTAGTATCTCAAATAAATGTTTCGTTTGGAATATCTGATAAGGTTATGGTTTTGGGTGGATCTGCTCTTGCCGATGCAATTAATCAACTCAAGTATGTGCAGTGTGTCTTCATCTGCACTTGACTAAGATCTGCTCTTGCTGTTCAATACTGTTCTTAATTGAATTTACCAGCATCGCCAACTCTCCAGACCATCCTTTCTCATAATTTGCGGGCATTACTTTTCCTTTTGAATGCAGGTTCATGCCATTCTTGATTCTATCTGGACAGTTGTGCCCGCCCGGAATCGAAGGGACTCTGTTTGCACTCTTCATGTCAATCAACAATTTTGGAAACACGCTGGGTTCATTTGTAGGTGCCGGCTTGGCTTCATTCTTAAACATCAACTCTGGTTCTTTTGACAACCTCCTTCTAGGAATTGCTATACAAGTCGTCTGCATATTCGTTCCGGTTGCTTTGCTATTCTTGATACCGAAAGACGCCACAGGGACATCAGCTTAGAAGGAGATTATACTTTCAACAGAGTTGCAGAGAAGAGTTTAGGATACATCAGGAGAAAACATTTTTCCTTCACGTATAGCAGTTTACAGGTAGATTTTTTAACATACAAGTCCACTGCGGTAGATACGTCATAGAAGTAGATATTCTTGTACTTCTTTTTCTATGGAATGGAAAATTTCCTTGGGCTTCACTTAAACACATGCTTTCGAAATTCCATGAGTTTGTGTGATTATATGCGGAAATTGCATCCCCAGTATCCCCCAATTTACGTGATGGAGTTAAATTAGCTGCTTCTCAAGCAGCAGCCACTGCCACTGCGAACCCCTCTTTTCCTCCCTCTTCACATGCAGCTCACCACGGCAGCCCGACCCTAACGTTGCTGCCTCTCTCCCTGCGCCCCTGTCCCTGTTTGTGGCGAGCTCCCTCGCGGGAGGCGCTGAGCTTGCAAACGATGCTGGAGGCCAAGCTCGCGGTGGCGGCAAGCCATTGGAGGTGGCCCCCTCGGAGCCATGCGGGAATTTCTTTTTATTAGCTTTTTGCTAAGAAATCACTCTGAGAGATGCGGATGCCGAATGCCTTGAGCATCAAATTCTGGCATATTTTTTCCCTTCTTTTGTTCGGACCAGAGGACGTGTCCCTGTCCCCCCGAATCTCATCTCGAATTGACGATATCACCGCCGACTTTATTCGCGTGCTCTCTTCAGTTGAATCCCTCGAGCAAAGGGCAAAGCCGTCGACCTATATAAACCCGAGAAACAAACGGTCGATCGAAAGCATGAAGTTTGCCAAAGACTATGGAAACGGAAATTCAGGGATGAGATGGTAGCGCGAGATCCCTCCATTTTCGAACTGTACAAGAGGGAAAGAGGAAGAGAAGATGATCAGAGGTTTGAAGAAGCTGAGCGCGGGATTCGGAGCGTCGTTCCTGTGGCTCGTCTGCTTGATCCACTTCACTCAGGTTTCGATTCGAATCCCACGCTTCGTGCTCGTTCGCGTTCGGACAACGCGGTTCGTTCGCTTTTTCTTTTGCCGCTTTTCGTGCTCGCGATCGTAGGAAGAAGGATCGAGGGTCGCGTCGTTTCGTGGGGTTCAGTGGTTTTCCGGCGCGTGGTTCTTGTTTCGTGTGGATTGTCGGGTGAGAAATGATGCGCGTTGATGTTTGGTGCTTCGCATTCGTTTCGGTATCGGAAGATTTTCTGTCATTAATGGTTTTTTTTTTTTTTTTTGCTGCGAGCTGGTTGGGGCTCTGAATTGTGCGGTTCTGATTGTGGACGCGAATCTCGCGTTCGTGTTTGGTGCTTTGATGGTTGATGCGGATGGGTACCTGTGCCTTCTAGCTGGGAAACCATACGTGTGCTTGGTTTTTGTTGTTGCTGTCGCTGCTTCAGGTCCAATTCGTGATGGTTTCTCTATTTGAACGCAGGGTTTCAGGTCATTTGCGTGGACTGCGGTTTCGTACCAGCTCAAAGACATACTCAAATTGTCGCCCTCGGCCTCTCAATTTGTGTTTTCAGTTGCATTTTTCCCATGGAGCATAAAACCTTTATATGGGTAATGCATTGAATATGCCCTACAGCATTGACCATATTTATATCTGCTAACATGGGTTTATTTTTTTGGGCCATGTTTATTACAAGACTGGTCCTTGATTTCCTCCCCCCTGATTTTGCTGGTGCAGTCATTCTCTTGTCTGGAGCGATGTATATTCCTTTGTCAGCGTTCTTTCTTTCAAATTTCTTCCTTTGACTTCGCTATGTTGTTGTGTGCAGAATTGTGTCAGACTGCATTCCGATTGGAGGAAGAAAGCGGGTTCCATACCTGATTCTTGCAACAATACTGTCTCTTGTGCCGTGGCTTATTTTGGGCCTAAATGCTTATTTGAGGAATTCTACATGGCACCTCACGATCTTCTTAACTGTCCAAAATCTGGGCTTGGCAATGGCCGATGTTGTCATTGATGCGATGATCGCCGAAGCTTTGAGATTTGAGAAGTATGTCCCTGCACTCTTCTACTTTTTGAATCTTTTCGGAAAAAATTATGGTTATAGCTTCCACCTTGCTTGCGATTATCATACTGCTCAATGACTTTTTTCTCTTGTTACCCTATTTTAGGGCATCGGGCTAGAGCATAACGTAAACATTGCAGACATAATTCTCAGATTTGTAAACATTCGCCCTTGTTCTTGCTGCCCATGAAAGATACTTTTATGTGAGTATTATTAGAGAGAGCCCTTAGTGCACTTGCTGAGCAACAAAACGAAGGAAAATTTATGGTATCCAAAGCAGTGACTTACCTTGTTGTATGTGCAATCAATGTCTTGAAAATCCAACAATTACTTATTAAGTATGCTTAATAAGTGTCCCAAAGGCATTCATTAATAGGATTCTTTTAATATTTCTATGCAGACTACATTTTCAATGAATCATATGTGCTTATAATTGAGGGAATTATGTACATTTAATTTGTGACCTGAGCATAACCTGAGCTCTTATTGCTGTTGTTCAGGGCTTCGTTTGCTGGAGATCTTCAGTCAATGTCTTGGTCTGCAATGGCTTTTGGTGGTATATGCGGGAGTTTATTAGGCAGATATGCATTGACCAATGTGGAGATAGCAACTATTTGTCTTCTATTTACCGTGCTGCCAGCTGTACAATTACTTTCATGCGGTTTAGTAAAGGAGAATCCCCCACGCAAAAATGATGAAAAAGATCCTCCTAAAGACAAACATCTGATGAATGGCAATAGTAGTTCAATAGATGAGGATAGCTTTACAGTGAAGAAGCAAAGTAAGAGTACTTCGAGAAGAAAGAAGAGCCGCAAGAGTAGAAAAAAGATGGATGTTGCCTCTGATAAGTCCAGACCTTTCCGCGAAGATGATCAACTATTCTTGAAATGGCTTCGCTCTCTGAAAAATGCTATTTACGTTCTATACCAAGCTTTTCGACAGCCAGTCATATGGAGGTAAGTGGACAGAAAGCTTAACCTATTGAAGCAATGATTCCTTAGCATTTTAAGGTCACTTGTCTTCTTGCCAGATTTTATGGTCTTTGGCACTCACAAATAAATTTATTGAAGTGAAGTTGGCTATAAAATTATCAATGATTTTTCAACGACTCTGTTATATTCTTTGTCCAAGGACAAAACAGTTTGTTACTGGTGGTTATGCCATCAAATGATCTGCCTTATTCTTCGTATATGTTACCTAGTGGATATGCACATACGTATGTCTATTAGCCTTGTTCATTTTATAGAGTTAAACGTGTCTAAGTAGTAAAAAGGAATACCCTTTTCTTTGTCGAATTCTTTGTCCTGATTGATTTTATGATGCATTAGCCAAATTTCTAATCAGGTACTTTTCTATTTCTTTTTCGTGATCCTTGTAAGACCAGACCTATGGCTTGGTTTTTTCTAGCTCATGTCAGCGTTCCAAACCTCTCGACGGTCATGTTCTACTACCAGACGGAGTTTTTAAAACTGGAAGCATCGTTTTTGGGGACTTCACGTGTTGTTGGATGGGTAGGCCTCATGATTGGGACCTTCATATACAACCGTTTCTTCAAGACCGTGAACTTACGAAAGATCCTCTTGTGAGTTTTGGCTGCTTTATGATATAGTTTTCTCTTTGGTAAATATGTTCTTCTGTAGTTCAGTTTGCTGATGGTGCTTCGTTTTTTATCTATGAACACAATGCAGGTTTGCTCATGTTGGTTTAGCCTTACTGACCACACTGGATATGATTTTAGTATCTCGAATGAATGTTTCGTTTGGAATATCAGATAAGGTTATGGTTTTGGGTGGATCTGCTCTTGCCGATGCAATTAATCAACTCAAGTATGTGCAGTGTGTCTTCATCTGCACTTTACTAAGATCTGCTGCTTTTCTGTTCAATAGTGTTCCTAATTGAATTTACCAGCATCGACAACTCTCTAGACCATCCTCTCTCACAATTTGCGGGCATTGCTTTTCCTTGTGAATGCAGGTTCATGCCGTTCTTGATTCTATCTGGACAGTTGTGCCCGCCTGGAATCGAAGGGACTCTATTTGCACTCTTCATGTCAATCGACAATTTTGGAAACACGCTGGGTTCATTTGTAGGTGCCGGCTTGGCTTCATTCTTAAACATCCAGTCTGGTTCTTTTGACAACCTCCTTCTAGGAATTGCTATACAAGTCGTCTGCATATTCGTTCCAGTTGCTTTGCTATTCTTGATACCGAAAGACGCCACAGGGACATCAGCTTAGAAGGAGATTATACTTTCAACAGAGTTGCAGAGAAGAGTTTAGGATACATCAGGAGAAAACATTTTTCCTTTACCTCTCTCTCCTGTATAGCAGTTTACAGGTAGATTTTTTAATATACAAGTCCACTGCGGTAGATATGTCATAGAAGTAGATATTCTTGTACTTTTTTTTCTATGGAATGGAAAATTTCCTTGGGCTTCCCTTGAACACATGCTTTCGAAATTCAGTGAGTTTGTGTGATTATATGCGGAAATTGCATCCCCAGTATCCCCAATTTACGTGATGGAGTTAAATTAGCTGCTTCTCAAGCAGCAGCCACAGCCATTGTGAACCCGTCTTTTTCTCCCTCTTCACATGCAACTCACCGCGGCAGCCCGACCCTAACGTTGCTGCCTCTCTCCCTGCGCCCCTGTCTCTGTTTGTGGCGTGCTCCCTCGTGGGAGGCGCTGAGCTTGCAAACGATGCTCGAGGCCAAGCTCGCGGTGGTGGCAAGCCATTGGAGGTGGCCCCTCGGAGCCATGCGGTAGTTTCTTTTTATTAGCCTTTTGCTAAGAAATCACTCTCAGTGATGGGGATGCTGAATGCCTTAAGCATCAAATTCTGGCATATTTTTTCCCTTCTTTTGTTTTGGCCATGCAAATGATGGCTTTTCGACTTTTCATTTTTCACCAAATCCCAATTTTCCTCGTGCTATACTATTGTCTCGTAATTGTTATAGTTTAGAACGCTTTTTCTAATGCTTTTGCAATCCCTAAATGAAGCATACGTTAAAAATTTGAAATCGCGATCTAGCCTAAACTCAGAATCTTCACATTGGAAAACGAAGTCAATTTTTTTTTGTTAAAAATATATAATATAAAAACAAAAAAGGGAAACAAGAAAGATCATACAGAAAAAAAAAATTTAAAAGAAAAGGAGTGGATAGAAGCCAATCTCTGCTCTATCAGAGCCAGGTTTCGATCCTGGGACCTGTGGGTTATGGGCCCACCACGCTTCCGCTGCGCCACTCTGATTTTTGTTGACCTTCATCGTTTCTATTTATTTATAAATCTTATCTTCCGGTCGTTCATCCAAAACATGCATCTCTTCCCTTTTGATCACTCCAAATACATTCGCCCGAACTTTGAACACACAGAGAGAAAGAGAGAGGATGAGAAGACGACCCGGAATCGGAGGCCTGCAGACAGCGGCAGCTGCTAGGGTTCGTTTCGCTTTCTATCCTCACGTGTTTCGTCGCTCGCCGTAGCTGAATCTATCGCCTCGAACCGTTCCTTTCTCGATCAAAATTGACCCCTCATCGTCTTCTTCGTTACGTGCGAGCAGGATCAGTACCGGTTGCTCGGAGAGAATGTGGCGAAGATCCGGACCGATCTCATGAAGGAGCAGCTCGCTACCTTCCGCTCCCAGCTCGAAGACTTCGCTCGCAAGCACAAGGTCCGCTTCCTTACCTGCGTCATCCGCGCTCGAGCAAAAGCTCGTATCCCCGATTTTTTCCGATCTTCGTTGGCGATTTTTTGAGGCGGTGGGATTTTACAGTTTGACTGGAATGTAGAAATTTTGGTGGCGTGAGATTATGCTAGTCGGTTGAATACTTTTTTCGGATGGAATAGGCTGCCAATGCGGTGATGGCGTTTGAGAATTTTGTGTTAGGAACGCTGTGCAGTTGAAGGCAGGCCTATTGCCTAATTGAGTTTGCCCTGATGTGCACATGTTTAGCGCTTGCGCTTTGTAATGGCCATCTTGAATCATATGTAATTAATCGCCATTGCTTCTGTACTAGCGATAATAGACACCACACCTTTTGTTTTCTCTGTCTACAAATGTAGTTCGCAGCTCCTTTTTTCGTATTAGAAGCCGGTGATTGGTGTTTCTGGGCACAAGTCTTGTACTGCGTTGATAGAGACGCGAGTGCTCAACGAGGCGTGCTTTCGAATGATGGTTTCGCTTCATGTTTAGATATTTCTGTTCATTGCTTGCTAGCAATTGAATAGATTATGGGGGAATGATGATCAAGCTTCGCTAATGATGTGCAGAATGACATTCGCAAGAATCCCGCGTTCAGGTCGCAGTTCCACGAGATGTGCGCGAAAGTCGGGGTTGATCCTTTAGCATCGAACAAAGGTTTTTGGGCTGAGCTGTTGGGGATCGGTGACTTCTATTATGAAATCGGTTGGTAGTTTCATCATCGTAGTGCTTCAGTTGTAGCTTTTGTCGCCGTAGGTTCTGAAACATGCCAAATATAGGTTGAAGTGCACGTTGGTGGACATCAAAAACTTAAAAAGAAAGAAAAAAAGTAAAAGGGATATCCTCTCGTCCTCTGCCTATGTGAATGTTAATTGTCTTGCTTTGGGGAAAAAAATGGATGGCCATAATATATATCAAATGTTTTTCAATGATAGGTGGTGAATGGTGATCTGTCTCCGTAGGTTTTCAAATAATCTACATCAGTAATATAGAGGTTTCATTTGGTTAGGGCAAACTTTTCTATGTTAAAGTTGGATGAAACATTTCAGGTTTAGAGTAGGGCAGCGGGCACATCTAAATATACCTGCAATTAGGCTCTGTTTTTTCTTCTTTGAAGGATAAGAGCAAATTTCCCCTTTGATTCAAATAGTCATCTTTCTCCTTATAATACTAGTTGGTTGAAGCATATGTGTCAGCTTGTCAAACATTTTCTTATGCTGAATAGGCTACTCAATTAGTCAGGGGTGCAAATTGTTGAGATTTGCTTGGCAACGAGAGCCCAAAATGGAGGTTTGATCAATCTGCAGGAGCTCTGCAGTCTTCTTCGTCAGAAAAGAAAAGGCTCGAGGGAAGCTGTTTCTGAGGATGATTGCTTACGTGCCATAAGTAAGCTGAAGGTATTGCGTAATAACTTTCCTCTGCAACTTCTGATCCTATCTTTTCATTCTCTACCTTAAGACTAACATCGTCATCTGATATTGTGTTTCACCATTCAAGTAATTTTAGGAAGACACAGCAGTCGTGTGTCTCTTGGTAGTGTTAGATTTAAATATTTGATACAGGAAACTATAAGGATGGAAAATTTTACCTCACTGCGGCTTTTTGACATTCTGTCCATCTCTATTAAATCTATTGTATATTCTTTATTGGGATGGCTACCAATGATTGCCTACTGATCTATGATGTGTATGCGTATCAAGTGTTTCCACACATCAAAACAGTACCTGGTGGAAATACTGCATTTTGTGCCTATCATCTGTTGTGAAAGTCTGGCTTGTTGAGTGTTTGATCAATCCGGATTGGGGTTCATCTATGAGCTCCCTTTGTTGCATAATGGTTCGAGTGAAGTGACTTACTTCTCCATATATGTCCCCATATGTTTGCTCTTGTGTTAACATCTTTTTATAACTAGTTTACACCGTAAACTTAGTTGCATAAATGGCATTTTTCATTTCCAGGTTTTGGGTAGTGGTTTTGAGGTAATATCTGTTGGGAAGAAAAAGCTTGTTCGATCAGTTCCAACTGAGTTGAACAAAGATCATAATGAAATCATTGAACTCGCCCAGGTACTTTCTCTTGCGGATCTCTCACCTCAAAATTGGAACTCTTTTATTCCCTTTTATTTGATCTCAGATGTGGTTGTCCAATATCTCTTAAAAAATAGTTGCATTGGTCCTTTCTGTTCTAGCTCTCTTTACCAGTACCTTCATTTGAGGAATCTTGATGAAAAACTCTCAATTGGCTATGATGTTAGGCTCAAGGTTTCGTGACCATTGATGAGCTAGAGAGACGGCTGTCCTGGACCTCTGGCCGTGCCATTGATGCACTCGAAACTTTGTTAAAAGTAAGTTTATGTGGCCATTTGAGCAGGTTTCTGTCCTTTTTTACTGCGGAAGGTTTTTGGTGATTTATAAACCATCATCTTGCTGGGCGCAGGAAGGTTTTGCTATGATTGATGACGGACACAGAGACGGCAGACGTAGGTACTGGTTCCCTTGCGTATCATCCATCTCCTCGTTGGGAGGAAATGACGCCTAAAACGAGCGGATCCCTTTTCCACTCTTTTTCAGCTTTAATTTAAGATGGTGGTCGAGAATATGTTCCTTTCGAGATTCAAAGCGATGAGAAAAGAGTGTTCAAATAAGTCAGTGTGCGGGACAAAATAGATTCTGTTTTCAGCTGCAGCTCTTATAGCTTTGTCTGTAACTTCACATGTCAGTGTAGATACATACAATTTGGTTTCTATCTGGAGATAAAGTTGAATACTGATTCTATTACAATCACTCGGACAGTGCGTGCCTCCGAGGTTTGGAGTAACTAGTTATTCTTCCGACATTTTTTCTGTCAGCAATTCTACTCCTGAACGCGGTCGTTATATCTCACGACGATTTTTAGCATAATTGGTTTGCCCTTGTATGATTAAATTTTTGTGAATCTGTCCGTACCCGGGCCTACCGGTTCCTCTCTCAACCACAACTTCCAACTCAAAGGACAAGGAAGAGATCCTAGTTCTACTCCAACATCGTGCCATTTGCGTGCCTTTAAAGGTGTTGGATCTTCCGCGCGCAAATTGAATTCTATCAACACATCATCTCCATTAGACGCACGCGTACTATATTCTATTTCACATATTTCTAATCAATATATAACATAATTTGTGGAATTTCAGGGAAACTTTCATAACTTGCCCGCCCGAGTTGGGGCATTGCACAATTTTTCCCTTCCACTGGCAGTGAAGCAGTAAAATTTCGAGGGGTGAAAATTGAGATAAATTCTTTTTTCGGAGTGATGTAGGAGGGGATGGAAAAGGAAACTTCAAGGGCAAAGTAAAGTATCATCTTATCGGTTCTTGGATCAGGCCGGGTTACAACTAAGAACGAACCGGTTCGGGAAGAGTCCGTCTTGCCTGTGTGTGCGAAACATCTCGGCCACTCTTTCCGCCTTTCCCCAACGGAAGCTCAATTCCATGCGTTCAAGCGATAATCATCAGCGATCGCTCTCGAAGCCGCCAAATCTCAGGAATCGTCGTCCTCTCCATTAACCACACTGCTCCCCATTTCTTCTCATCCAAATGCATTGACACACACGCCCGCATACAGAATCTCTCTCTCTCTCTCCCTCTCTCTCTGATGGCAATGGCTTCTTCGCCTTCTTCGCGACCGATCGCGCTGTTGCTGCTCGCCTTCTTCGCTGCCGTCGCGCCCCTCTCTCTGTCCGCGAGATTGCCGTTTCACCCCGAGGACGCGCTCCCTCTGCTGCCGCGGCAGCTCTCGTGGCCGATCCTCAACCGCCTCCGCGGCCCCCTGGATCTCCTGCCGACCTTCGTCGGCTCGGCCTCGCCGTCCTCCAACGCCAGCCTGAACTGGAAGGGCGCTTGCTTCTACGACTCCGCGGCTTGGATGGAGTTCCACAACAAGAGCGAGAGCGAGTTCGGCGGGGGCACGCTTCACATCAAGGTCTGATTGGTTTCATGCTGTTGATTCCGCGAGCGTGTGCTTGGTTGTTGTTAAGATTTTGGAGCGTTGGGATTGGTAGATAGTTAGCGACGATGACCGAGTTAGGTTGCGAATGAATCGAAGTTATCGCGAGACACTCGAGCTCCGGTTGAGTTTTATTAGTTTCGACTCGACTTCTTGATAAGTATCGAACCGGTGTGGAGTAGAATTCGATTTCGTGATGCTTTACTTGATTGGTTCGCTATGTGATTGAGGTCTTTGGGTTTATGAATTGCTTTTGTATAGCCATCCAAGCTCTAGCATAGCAGTATAGAGACTACTTTATCAGTTGAGTCCTGTATCCAACCTCGACTTTTGGTTGTCAAAACGAGTTTGGATGAATAACTGTATCAACTCAACTCAGCTCGACTATACCTCTGATATGGAGTAGCGTCGTTGCAATTGGCTGTGCATTTCAATATAGTGGGTTGGGGAGAAGCATGTAATTTTTCCATTTGCCTGTTTTCTCAGTTCAAGGAGTTATTGGAGAGCGAGGCTTTTCTCTTGTGGGCGTTTGCTGCTTGTTTATTTTTCTTCCCTTTTGATGTATCCTTACGAGCCTCTGAACGTTGTGTTACTTGATGGTTGATTTGATTCTTTTCCTAGTATCATTATCCATACAAATTGTTCAATTTTGTTAATTATGGGAAGGCAAATTATGTCAATTTCCTCGGGATATATGGTTGTTGCTCCATCCATGATTTTAAATGGTGCCGCATATAACCTGTTATTATCTGTGTCGTGCTTTTAAGTGGTGAACTAACTATGAATTTGATGGGCACCAATTCAGGTCAACAAGGCTCACAGTTGGACTTGCATGGATCTTTATGTCTTTGCAACTCCATACCGTGTCACATGGGATTTCTATTTCTTGTCTCGGGAGCATACCCTTGAGTTTAAGGCTTGGGAAGGAAAAGCAGAGTATGAATACGTACGTGTGTACTCTCTTTAGTAAGGGACTTAACATCTTTCTTGTCATGTTTTGTAGTCATTGTTATCTGGATGTAAACATGGTCCTCTTTTCATCTGAAATCAGGTAAAAAGCAAAGGAGTTTCTATCTTCCTCATGGAAGCTGGGATGCTGGGAACACTTCAAGCTCTGTGGGATGTCTTCCCTTTGTTTACAAATACTGGCTGGGGTGAAAACTCTAACATTGCCTTTCTCGAGAAGCACATGGGTGCTTCCTTTGAGGAACGCCCCAAACCCTGGGTAACAAACATAAGTACAGATGATATTCATTCTGGAGATTTCCTTGCAATATCAAAAATCCGTGGGCGGTGGGGTGGTTTTGAGACATTGGAGAAGTGGGTCAGTGGTTCTTATGCTGGTCATTCTGCAGTTTGCTTGAGGGACTCTGAAGGAAAGCTGTGGGTTGGCGAATCGGGACATGAGAATGAACAGGTGGGATATAAAATTGGCCGGCCTGGTATTTAAGGTGCTTCTATAGATTAAGTATTGTTTCTGATCCGTCCTTTACCCATCCTAATGGGAACATGCCTTCCTTAATATGATGCAATGGATTTTTTATTCGGCTTAGAGAATTTCATAGTTCATACCAAATCCCTCATCAGCTGCCTTACCCAGTTATTCAGGGGACGAGAAAAGTCATAAGCAGCACCTACTTGACCTGAGTGATTATTGTAATACAAAGGAGGAAAAGTGGTTGCAGAATCTTAGCCTAATTTGCAGATGTATTTTGCATTGCTGCATCCATTAATTTACTTTGTGTTTCTACCTTCCCATCTTGCTGTGCTGGTCTTTTCTTCTTAGCCTGTTCAATGGAGGCTCAGTTTTTAAGCACAAGAGACTTTTTTCGAGTTTTCTGGACAGACATCCATTTGTCTTTTCTGCTTCCTGCCTTAAATGAATGTTGTTCCATGCTAAAATATAACAGAGCTAGAAATGATTCCCGTTTTCCTCATAATTGGCTGCAATTTGGTGTCAATATAAGATGCTATGCTGATGAGGAGTGAATCTGAGTGGATATGCTGCTCCTTATGAGAGTGCATCCGTTGAAGATAGATTTCAGAAAAAACTTGTGCATCGATGAACGGTAGCTTTTCAGTTTACCATTTATAGTTGTCTGAGACATGATTCATAAAAGCTCATGGTATTTTAAAGTTTCGCCAATTATGACAACTTTGAAGTGCTTTTCCTCTGTTTTTTCTCCTTCTAGGGCGAAGATATTATTGCGATGTTACCTTGGGATGAATGGTGGGAGTTTGAGCTGAATAAGGATAACTCCAATCCCCATATTGCATTACTTCCCTTGCATCCTGACGTGCGGGCCAAGTTCAATGAATCTGCTGCATGGGAATATGCTCGGAGTATGGAAGGAAAACCGTATGGTTATCACAACATGATATTTAGCTGGATAGACACAATTGACGGGAACTATCCACCTCCCTTGGATGCTCATCTGGTATCTTTATTTAACTTTATTTCCGTATCCATGGTTTATCCGAATAAATTAATAATCGCTGATAGGGTTATCTATAGGTTACCTTTAGGTCTATGCTCAGTTGAAAATGCAGATTCTTTTTCCTTTAAGGGATCTAACTAGAAGTTCAGATTTACATATTGTGACATGTTATGCGTTTTAAAAGGGTCTCCTTTTCCGCTGGTTTAACTAGTGCAATGACTGTGCAGGTTGCATCTGTTATGACAGTGTGGAATCAGTTAAGACCTTCTTATGCTACCAACTTGTGGAATGAAGCCTTGAACATGCGACTTGGAACTGAGGTATCATTAACAGTTTCTCTGCTGAGGATCTTTGGTTTAGAAAGATAGTGTTTAATATTATCACTCTTTAGGATCTTTATGTAGACTTGAACAGTTCACTAGGATATACCTCATGGATGAGTTTGAGTAATTTTTTTTTTAACGGTATGCCCCTTCTTTCTAAAATCCTTTTCCTTTCTTGGGACTTTGCCATCTGGTTTATTGGGACTCTAATGACCCAATGGGTTAGCTTAGATTGAGATCCTAGAGAGAGTGGATCATTTAGGGATTCCGATGTACTTCATTTATTTCTTTTTCTTTTTTCTTTTTTTGTTTTTCTTTGCAATGAAACGGTGTGTTGCACCATTAAATATTTATACACGATTCAGCTTAGTGAAAATACTCCAGTGTCCAATTTTTCTTCAAGTAACTGATTTGCCTTGGTTTTAATTTTCTTCATCAAGAATAATGTCGAGTTTTGTGTCCTAGAATAAGTAGTGAAAATTAGGGACTGGAGGGAACTTGTAGGTGTGAATGGGTAAGAACTCATTTTTTTATGGTTTAAACTTTTAGAAGAATAACGACTCTAATATACATGTCAGATCATTGAAGGCAACAATTTCTGGTACTTCTCTGTATGTTTGATGAGATGTACCAGATGAATCGCAGAAAAAAGGCAGGTTGAGGATATGCCTATGTTTCATAGACATACCTTGACAACTGATAGGTGGATAAAATGGTTATGTTAAATTCAGCATATCCTTTTCCTTTTCCAGAAATAATTGTTGACTTCATGCAGGGGCTGGATCTTCCAGATATTTTAGTGGAGACTGAAAAGCGTGGCTCATCCTTCGATGAACTGCTTACCATCCCAGAGCGGGATGATTGGCTGTACAGTGATGGAAAGTCAACCTCTTGCATTGCCTTTGTTCTTGAAATGTACAAGGAGGCAGGATTGTTCAGTTCAATTGCTGACTCTATTCAAGTGACGGAATTCACGGTGAGGCCACCATGCACGATATGCACCATCTTGTTTGAGTGGATTGTCATTTCATATCGAGTACCGGGTTAGGTTCTTTCATGATGTGGATTCCTTTTCTTTCTTGAGGAGAAGAATAGTGAATCGAGTCATTTTACGTTGGGATAAATGAGAAACTAATTAATTGTCATCAGCCCTATGAATTATGCATTTGATTAGAGAAATCTCTTTTAGATTCTTCCAGTCATCTGTTTTTGTAGTTCAAGGTCCTCATTTCATCTTTCCCACCTGCAGATAAAAGATGCATATACGCTGCGGTTCTTCGAGAATAATTCGAGCCGTTTGCCAAAATGGTGCAACGATGCCGACAATGTCAAGCTCCCGTTTTGTCAGATCCGAGGGAAGTATCGGATGGAACTACCGGGATACAATACTATGGACCCGTACCCCCAAATGAACGAGAGGTGTCCTTCTCTGCCTCCAAAATACCTCAGGCCAAAAGATTGCTAACGTAAGTTCGGATTTCGCACGGCATGTTATATCCTGTATTTTTCAGATTGATTCTGCCAGATGTATTCTTTGTTTCCTCACAGGAATCGTTCATGTGCCAGTGGATAGGTACTGTGATATTTGTAAATATGTGATTAGACAGTCTTGGAGTGAAAATTGTTGGTCAGTGGATGGAAGTCTTGTACGACATGCTGTATATTGGGCGTCGATTGTAGCTTTTCTTAAGAATAATGTGCTTATTTATTCTGATTCTGACATGTAAAGACACATTTGACGCTGAAAAAGTTTACAACGGACGAAGATAGCAGGCTATTCATAGAATTGGGTTCTATTATGTGCCGCTAAATTGCTTACGTGTTTCTCCCTCGTATTTTTCTTTTTCCAGGCAGGTAATAAATGGGGGTATCCAACTCTAATCCTAAACTAGCATTGACATCACATTCGAGGCTAGAGCACGGAGATTTCCATTCAAATGCACATTGCAAAAAGCGGACTCTCTTCTGGATCTATAGCTTGACATGATCACACTTCAAGCCAAACATGTTTTTCGCATTTTCATTCCGTGTACAATAGAGGGCTAAAATGAGTCCTTAAAATTGAGTGAGAAACACTAACGGCTAATGCCGTGGATGTAAACCAGGATTCGTCAGAAAGGAAAGATCTCTTTTGCACCTACACAAAACAACAGTAGTTACACCTGGTAATTTTTTAGTCAAGATCTTCGATTTTCCAAGATGCCATCATTCAGCCTTGGCTGCGAAATGGTTGCCTCCGGTCGCAATTTTGTAGATATAAAACCCGGTCATCAGAGCACTGAATAGAGGAGAATTGGAAAGTGCATTAGCTCAGAGTGATTACTAGGCAAATGAGAATACATGAAGTAGAGGAATGTAGGTTTTAGCAGATATAAAGCTACATAAAATATAAAACGGGCAGACTGAATCCTTGGTTTAGAGCAGCATGATTGCAACTTAAAAAAAATACGGAACAGGTATCCAATTTCTGATTCAACTGAATGAGCTGGCCGGCCAGTTCTTAAACGCTAGGTAATATACACCAAGTAAAAATTGCATGAATCAATTCAGTCGTTAACTCCGTCAATGGTGAATGCAAAATGAGCTAAAAGAGTCTGTAAAATCTTAATTCAGGGAGGTGAGATTCAAAAATTTTATATAAAAGTACATAGAATATAGTACATAATTCAAGAAAACAAGTTTCACATGAAATTTCCTAGATTATAGTATATAATTACAGAAAATTGCAGCAAACACCTTGTCCGGTCCACCCATGGACTCCACTTCATACTGTATATTACTATTAAGCCATGATTGACTCCAATATGGAACTCCTTTTTCCCCTAAAATGACAATGATAGCCTTCCTAATTGTATCCTCGACATTAAGAAACACTTGCATCTCTGTATAGAAGTACAAAACCGTAAGAGGATTAAGCTTTAAACAAGTTACAAAGTAACTATTGTTCTTTTGGTTAAACAAAAACGTAATATCTTATCTATTTTGGCCCACTCCTCATAAGCAATGTTCAAAATAAGATACGACTTTCAAACTTCAAATGAATTACCAATTCCTTCAGGGTAGTTATTTTCAACTTCTATCAACCTATCTACAAGCTTAAATTGGTAGGATGGATGCATGGTTCATTAGGGCACGCACATACACACAACCAGAGATAGATACTAGACGTATCTTTCATCATAATTTGTTTTTCTGTTTTCACTTCTTAAAGACTATAGTTTTGATGTTTAAAAATTACTGACTGCCGCAATAACTGTCCACCCATTAGTCTGATGATGAGAATACCAACCGAATGTATGAACTTCCTCGATAAGGCAGACAACTACGACTATGAATCAAGATTTAATAGGAGAAGCAAAGGATGTTCTCTGAAGGTCAAGACCATGTGAATCAGAACAGATTAATCCGAGTATTTCATTTTCTCTAAGGAGAACCATACAAATGAAGAAAAAAATAGAGGAGAATTCTTCTTCTTGTTTAAAATGATCAGCAGAATGGATATTCTTGGTCCTATGCATCTGAAGATCAGTAATTATCCATATTAAGTTATATTATAGGCAGAGCAGATCTCCACAATTCATCTTTTCAATAAAAAAACCCTCCTTTAAGAATAGTCATTAGTTGTAAACTAGCACTAGCAATTAGCCTCATATTTAGATGAAAGTCACTCTTATGTCCTAACAACCCTTTTACCGACATTAGATCAGAAAATTTGTGAGCAACTGGTGTTGCAACTACATGGTGTGAGAGAGAAAACACAACATGCTTATTCAGATGATACACGAGTTCTGTAAAACCATGTATGGTTAGCAACGGAGGAAATAATTCTAGCTACCTTATCCCAGCAAGAATACCCGCTGGCATGATCTTAGATGTCTGGAGGTAGCGCTGTCCCATGACGAAGGTAAGCATGGCAGCACAAACTGTCAAAGACACAATAGTAAGTCAGCTATAACATCTATACAAAAAGCTTAATCCACACGCTGCTTTCATGCACGTGCATGTGCACGAGTGTGTGATTTTAAATGACTTTATTCAGATGAAAAACTTATACACAAACAAAAAAAGAGAGAGATGACAATCATATTGTAGACATTCTCAACACATCCTCTCAGACTATACCCTTCTACATGCATGTATAGTAAGAAGTTCAGAGATATTCGAAACACATAATTGACTAGCTTTATCTTGTTAAACATACTAAAAGTTCGTTATTCAGAACTAGCTATGATCTCTTCTTCAGCAGGATCCCTGGAAAGCTAGCTAGTTGTTACAATAACATTTGCCATTTGCTAAATGCTATCCTTGGATACTGCCAGCTTAACATGCAAGCATTTGACACCAACATCAAGCTATTCACAGACAAAATTTCCAGAGTTCCTGAAAACTACTTGTCCCTTTGGATAACCGACTCTGGTGATATAGTAAATGCGGCTTCATCGGGAACATTCCTGATCAGGACACATCAGGCATCCTTTTCTTACCCCCATCACATGAGACTGCTTGCAGAAAACCAGAAATCACCAATTTCACAGAAAAAGGAACACTTAGAGAATGCAGCGTGTTCCACTTAAAAGTAAGATTGCTGTTGTCGATAAGCAACAAAATAGAGAATGAGAAATAGAAATGGCAAACCCTAGAAAACAAAAAATACACGGATCATCCTTACGGACTCGAGGCGGCATCAAATGATGGATGCAGATAATTTAATAACAGCAGTGACTAGTGCAACAGCTAAACCGCCGATACAACAAACAGATACGGCACGGCAGTTAGATTGGATATCAGCTTCTCCACCTTGCAAATCTCACTATCGAGTTCTTAACCACCTAAAAACCAATCGATCGAAAACTTCAGTAGCTTCATTTCATCAATTCAGCTCCTACGACTCAACCTTCACGCGACGATCTCGACCGGCCTTCCAACAACACGCCGACGAAACGCGGCATCACATCACAGAAGCCAAAACAGACAGATCAAATCAAAAGCGTACGAAAGCGAACATGTCAACCTACTTGTCAACCGCCAAAACCGAATGGGAAGCAAAAGATTTCACGTGGTTACGGCTTCCAAAACGATCCGAATTCCACACATCAACAAAACCGCCGCAGACGCGCCGAGGAGGACGAGAGCTCACCGGTCTCGAGAACGAGCGCGGCGTAGGAGTTCTTCCTCTTCTCGAAGGCCTTGAGGCTCAAGTAGCCGGCGAGGACGAGGAGGAGGCCGGTGCCGGCGCCGCCGGCGAGGGAGGCGACGCTCTTCTTCCTCAGGAAGCCGATGAGCCCTCCGATCACCACGAGGAGGCCATACGGGAACGTGAAGCAGAAATCGTGCATCTTCTTCCCCCCTCTTTATCTCTTTCCTTCCTCGCCGGTGATCTTTTCAACAGATCAAGAAGAGAGAGAGCGAACAGCAGATTCACGAACACGAACAGATCCTTGAAGTGAGTGTTAATATAGTTATATAATTTATTTTCTTTTCTTTTTTTTTTAATTTTCGTTTTAATAATTTTTTTTGGGTTGTTTTGAGCAGTTGAAAGGGGAGCAGGCGTGTGCCGACGTGCGATGTCGCGTGGTCAACGCCCGCTCCTGATTTTCTTTTTTCCTTTTTCTGTCCGGGTTTTGAATATTTCGCAATTTCTTCGCATTGACTTAACGGGATAATGACATAAATGATCCATTGACTTTAATCTAACGTGTAATGTGATTCCCGAATTTTACTTCAATGTGCAATGTCGTCCATGAACTTATTTATTCAATGTGATCTAGAGACAACATCGAACATTTTCATGTAGTTCATGGATTAAAGGGAAAATTCCAATTAAGGACCCACAGTGGGGCCTTTTTTTTCAAAAGAGGACCCCAAGTGGACTTAGTGTCAAATAAGGATCCGAAGTGCCCAAAAAGTCTCAAATAAGGACGCAGGTCACGGCCAAAATACTGCCGTAGGCAAGAATGTTTTTTTTCCTTTGTTTTTTTTTCTTTTCCTTTTTTTTCTTCTCTTCTCCTCATAGGCCATAGGCCGCCAGTGAGTCATCGGCCTCGGGCAAGGCCGCCCTCGCCGGCGTCGAGCGATGACCGCCCTCGCCAGTTGCCGGCGAGGTCGAGCCTCGCCGGATCGGGCGAGGGCTCACCAGCCGGCGGCCGCGTGGCGAGGCTCGACCTCGCTGCCTCGCCTACCAGCAGCCGGCGAGGTCGAGCCTCGCCCGGTATAGGCGAGGTCGAGCCCTCGCCCAACGGCGGCGGGGCGAGCCCTCGCCCGGTTGGCGAGGCTCGCCCTCGCCCGGCAGCGGCGAGGTCGAGCTGGCGGATTCCCGGCGAGGGCTCGACCTCGCCGCCACCTGGCGAGGCTCGACCTCGCCGGTGTCGGGCGAGCCCGGCCTTGCTTGGTTGCGGGCGAGGCAGGCCTCGCCGGCAGCCGAGGTCGAGCCTCGCCCGGCCGGCGTGGGCGAGGCCCGGCTCGCCAGGTTGCGAGCAAGGGCTCGGCCCGCCGGCCTCGCGGCAGCCGGCGAGGTCGAGCCTCGCCCGGCCGACAGGGCGAGCCCTCGCCGGATCCGGCGAGGCTCGACCTCGCCGGCTGGCGAGGCTCGACCTCGCCCAACAACGGCGAGGTCGAGCCCGGCCCGTTGGCGAGGGCTCGACCTCGCCCGGCGGCGAGGTCGAGGCCCTCGCCGAACCGGGCCGGGCTCGACCTCGCCAGTTCTTGGGCGAGGTCGAGCCTCGCCGAGCGGCGAAGCCTCATGGCGGCAGCGGCGAGGCCGGGCCTCGCCCGGCCCAGGGCAAGGGGCGGCCTCGCCTGAGGCCGGCGACCTCCGCTGGCCCCGGCTATGGCCGGCGGAGGAAGAGAAGAAAAAAAAAACAGAAAAGGAAAAACATAAAGGAAAAAAATTAAAAATTTACTGTTCCGGTGCCGGAATAGTAACATTCTCGCCGGACGGCAGACATTTTGGCCGGCCGGCGACCCAGGCCCTTATTTGAGACTTTTTGGGCACTTCGAGTCCTTATTTGAGACTGATTGGGCACTTCAAACCCTTATTTGACACTAAGTCCACTTGGGGTCCTCTTTTGAGAAAAAGGCTCCACTTGAGATCCTTAATTGGGATTTTCCCTAGATTAAATTGAAATTGTACTAAAAGTCCAGGAAACATAATGAACAAATTAAAAATTCGGAAACTATATCACACATTGAGGTAAAATTCAGGGACCACGTTACACAGTTTGCCAAAAATTCAAGGATCATTTGTGTCATTTTCCCTAACTTATTAAACTAATTCCTAATTAATTATTAATATCCCTAAATTTATTTTTTCTTATATTCAACATTGGACATTTGAATTTCGCTTTAGAGTTGCAAATTTTTTCTATATTTAAAAATATATGACATTAAAGCTCCGTTTATTTTGCCAAAAAATAAATAATTTGAAAAATATTTTTTAAAAATGGATTACTTGTATTGTTTGTGAAAATGATCGAATGAAAAGAATTTTCATTGTGTACGAAGATGTTTTAGACATAAATCATCATCGATAATGAAAACATTTTTCATTGACTAATTATTTCGAGCAATACAAGCAATCATTTTTTAAGAAAATATTTTCGAATCGTTTATTATTCGCGAAATAAACAAAGCCTTAATCATCGGAACCCGAAATTCAAACCTATAGGCCAGTGATTTGGTTGCAAAAAGTCAAAGCATAGGGGGTTGTTATGCAAATTGCATGGCGTCGAGAACATTAAACTAAGCTTATCAAGGCATCTCTAGGGACTCGCTTTGTGGATTTCATGAGGATGATGTGCTGACACTGAATCAAGATTTGACAAAATTGGCCTATGGGGTTTACATGCTATTCAATCTGTACACAAGCTACTCTCGATGATACTCCTTTCCCATTCATATACACCGCATCTCTCAACATCCCGAGGTGACAGAGCGAGTGAATTCGAAGGGCCCGTCCGGAGCGTATTTGAGATGACGAGCAGCAGGGTCTGACATGCTTGATATTCATCCAGTCTCTCCGAATCTGTCCCCTCCGACGACAAGTCCTTCCATGGCTGATAAAACGACCTGTACACAAAATAGGACCGATCATGACATGGAAGAATAAGTGACATCTATTTAGGTGAAACCGAAGTTGCTGAGTAATCGTGACTCTTGAATTAATCGCCAGTCAGTTTTACATCTATTCGTTCAAAAACGTGGAATATTGATTGTATGATCACCATCCGGATTGACATGTATTAGGAGGAACAGAAACCACAAGACGTCAGGTAAAATAAGAATTACCATCTCCAAGCAGGATTAGCTTCAAGAGGGCAGCTTATCTTCGACAGTTGTGAGGCCACAGGAGTACCATCGAGCAAGAGATCTGATTCAGTAACTGCATAAATTGCATTCAAGTGTTTTAGCTAGACTTGCTCGGTCTAAGAATAAGGAATTCATTTTGATAAACAGTATTTCCCGCACAGTTAAACATAGTAGGTTAACCTACCTGCAATGTCGCAAAAATCATATAGTAGAAGGCAGAGTGCAGACACAACAGATGGAAGCACTCTGCAATCCGTGCCAAGAAGCTGTTGAAGGTACAAAATCGCAGCAGCTAACACCTTTCCAGTTCCAGATGTTTTTCGGCTTCTTCCTCTACTTGTTTCTTTGACAAATTGTAACAACGAATTCAGCATTTTCAGGTCAGATCTTTCTGAATATTTTGCATCCGTATATGTGGATCTATCAGAGAGTTCCCCATGAATTACAGATGCCACCAACCAACGAAGAAGCTTTGATGCCAAAGAATCTTCACATATTTCTTCCTCTGAGGAGATTGTTAAACTGATATGAGATCCTCCAGGATGAGGAATTTCTGTGGAGTCTGCTTTCAAGGCAACAGAGATTGCCCAAAGGACAAAATTCAAAAGCTTTTCTTCATCCTGTAAATCAAATCAAAATGAGATGTCATCGCACAGACTATCAATGACAAACCCACATTAAGTCGAGCTAACTAGATATAAAAGACATCAGTAAGCTACAGGATGTGGAAAAACACCCAAGAAATTTGTAACTGCATACTTGAGATGCTTGTGCATCCTTTCGGTCGCACCTCAAATATCTTTATCCAAGAAATTCAAAGAGTAATGAAAATATTCATAACTGTCCTATGACAATTGACTGCATAGAGAGAGAGAGAGAGAGACAGACAGACCACGTCAATAATTGATGGAGGAGGTGCATTCATTAGAATAGACCTGAGGCCAAATTCAGAACTTGGGAATGCTTGGGTGCCATCACACAACTTAATGGCATCATATATGTGAAACAGACCCTCGATGGCAAGGGTAAAATGTGGCTGGAATATCTTCCTTTTCTGAGATATCTTCAGGGTCGTCACCAATATCTGGAGGATCAAATGAATAACCAAAGTATTCTCTCTTAACAATTTTGCTTTGTGTGACAGAAACTTGAACAGATGAGAAGAAACTTCTGAGAGCTGCTCGAGAGCATGTTTCTGCAACCACTCTGTAATATTTCTGGACGAGATAATATTACTGATGACCTGTAGCCAAAAAAGTTAAAAGTCAGAGAAGCAAGTCCTTATCACGCGCTTAACTTTACTTAAGTCAGCATCACAATAAAGATCCCAATTGTATAAGACAATGTAGAAGCATTCCCCTAGATAACTTTCTAGTCCTCCAGGTATATATTCTTTCCAAATGTCCTCGCAAGTGACATGCATTTAAGAAAAGTTTATGTGCCCAAAATCTCAAAAAAAAAAAAAAGATAATAAAAGAAAAGAGAGAGAGAGAGAGAGAGAGAGAGAGAGAGAGAGAAGGGAATTCCGTAACCATTTTAGGTTGAATCAATTTTATTTCATAGATAATTCCAGCCATACACAGCTTAAAAATAAATGGAAGACCATGAGAGAGGGGGGGAATCCAATAACCATTTGAGGTTGCTTTAGTTTTATATTTTCATAGATAATTCCAGGCAATACCCAGCTTAAAAAGAAAAAAAAGACAACAAGAATTGAGAATGGAGAGAGGCGGTGGGGGAGGTTGACAAGAGAAGGAGAGAGGATCTAATGGGTAAGATTTTGTCTCTCACATGATGCACGGATAGGCAGAGAAGAAATTTCATGCCCTGAATGAAACAGTTTTGTATTTCCTATAGACTGTAAAGGGAACCATGAAAATTACTATCTGAAGGAAATAGACGTTAGGAAGAGTGACTACCTCTAATATCACCACCAATTGATCAAAGTAGAAACCCTTTTCATCTCCAGACAGCATCTCATTGATATGAGAAAGGGCAGATGATAACCATGAAAACAAACCGCAGTGCTCCACCAGATGACAAGCCATCTTTCGCAATCTAACTGACTTCCTAACTATCTGCATGAGATGAAGATTTTGTTACTGCCATATCGATAACCCAATATGAATTTTCAATCACCAAGAGAAAATAGACATATCCAATAACGGATGACTCGTTCACGCTACCTGAAGAATGAGTTCTTTGGACTCATTATCTGAAAATGGAGAAGCATAAAGGCTCAGCAGATTCTCGAAAACGGAGTTCCTCATGAAAACCAGGGCATCATCATCATTGCCAAGACCCACATATACAAGTCGCAATATCCAAATTCTTTCGGCCCGGAAATTGACAGAGCTACTCCACAAAAACTCATGGAACATTGGTACAGACTATAGACAATTAAATGAAGCATATGGTTAC